TTTTTTTTTTTTTGGTACCGGGGATCGAACTTGGGACCTTGCACTTGCGAGGCAGGCAGTGGAACCACTGAGCTAAATCCCTGGCCCTGGATTGGGTTTTTAAATGTGGGGGATCTGATTTTTTTGTGTGTTCTTTGTATATTCTAGATATTAGTCCTTTGAGAAACAGCTGGCAAAATTTTTTTCCCGCACTGTGAGTTCACTCTGTTGGTGGTTTCTTTTGCTGTGCAAAAGCTTTTTTTTTTCCTCTGGTACCGGGAATCATACTCGGGTCCTTGCACTTGCAAGGCAGCCGGCGGAACCACTGAGCGGATTTCACAGTGGTTTCACAGCCTACTGCGCAAAAGCTTTTTAATAAGATGAGATCCCTGTTGTTGATTCTTTGTGATATTTCCTTTGCAGTTGGGGTTTTGTTCATAAAGTCTTTACCTACACCAACATCTTCAAGAGTTCTATCTATTCTATCTTCCAGCAGATTTAATCTTTCTATTTTATTTTAATATTTAGATCTTTGGTGAATTTTTATTTTAGTTTAGTTCATGGTGAAATATATGGGTCTAGTTTTAATCTTTGGCATGTGGAAAGGCAGTTTTTCAGCACCATTTGTTAAAGAGGCTTTCTTCCAGTGAAGGTGTTTGACTCCTTTGTCAAAGATAAAGTGGCTGAGTATGTCTGGAGTTGTTTCTGCATCTTCTAATCTGTTCCCTTGATCTTTGGGTTTGGTTTTTTTGTGGGTGGGTATTGGGAATCAAACTCAGGACTTTACGCTTGCAAGGTGGGTGGGGTGCCACTGAGTTAAATCCCCGGCCCTGTTTTGGGGTCTGTTTTTTGGTTTTTTGGGTTTTTTGCCAGTATCATGCTGTTTTTTTGTTTTGTTCTGTTTTGTTTTGTTACTGGGGATCTAACTCAGAACACTGCACTTGCTCAGGGCACCACTGAGCTAACTCCCTGGCCCTCCGTGCTGTTTTTATCACAGTAGCTTTGTAGTATAATTTCAAGTCAGGGATTGTGATGCCCTCTGTCTTATCACAGTAGCTTTGTAGTATAATTTCAAGTCAGGGATTGTGATGCCCCCTGCCTTGCCTTTGTTGCTCAGAATTGCCTTTTGCTATTCTAGGTCTCTTCTGGTTCAAATGAATTTTAGGATTGTTTTCTCTAATTCTGTGAGATGTGGTATTGGAATTTTGATTGGGATTGCATTAAATCTGTATAACAATTTTGGAAGTATGGACATTTTCACTATATTAGGTCTTCCTACCCAAGAACCAGGGACATCTTTCCATTTTCTGATATCCTCTTTGATTTCTTTTGTCAGAGTACTGTAGTTTTCATTGTAGAGGTCTTTTACTTCCTTTGTTAGATTGATTTCTAGGTATTTCATTTTTTTAAATGCTATTATGAAAGGTGTTGTTTCCCTAATTTCTCTTGGTGAGTTTGTTATTCATGTACAGGAAAGCTATTGATTTTTGAGTGTTGACTTTGTATCCAGCTACACTACTGAATTTGGTTATTAAATCTAGAAGTCTTTGGTGGAATTTTGGGGTCTTCCATGTAGAGTATCATGTTATCTACAAATAATAACTTCTTCTTTTCCTATTCTTATTCCTTTTATTTCTTTCTCTTGTCTAATTGGTCTGGCTAATGTTTCCGGAGCTATATTGAATAAGAGTGGTGATTTAAAAAGAAGAAAAGAGTGGTGATGGTTGATATCTTTTTTCTTTTTTTTTTTTTTGGTACCAGGGATCGAACTCAGGACCTTGCACTTGTGAAGTAGGCAGCAGAATCACTGAGCGAAATCCCTGGCCCTGGATATCTTTGTCTTGTTCCTGATTTTAAAGTGAAAGCTTTCAGGGTTTTTGTTTTTTTGTTTGTTTGTTTTTGGTACCAGGATGAACTCAGAAGCTTTTAGGTTTTGTCCATTTAGTATGATGGTGGCTGTTGGTTTGTCATAGATGACTTTTATCAGATTGAGATAAAGACCATCTATTTAAATTTTCTATAGGGTTTTTATCATGAATGGATGTTGGACTTTGTCAAATGTTTTTTCTGCATCTGTTGAGATGATCATATGGTTTTTGTCCTTGGCTCTGGTAATATGGTGTTTTACATTTATTGATAGGAGTATGCTGAACCATCCCTTCCTCCCTAGGATGAATCCTACTTGGTCGTGGTGTATAATGTTCTTGATGATTTGTTGCATTCTGTTTGCCAGCCTCTTATTGAGGATTTTTTGCATCTATGT